CCTCAAAGCCCTGCTCAGCTTTAAGTCTTGAGCAAGTTTGAGGGCTGTTTGTCCTGAAACCCGACTACGGTTTTTTTGCTGCAGAACTGGAATTGCTTACAAATGAAGTCAGAAGCATTTCCTGCTGCCCACATCTGCACCGAGGCTATTTTCTCCTCTTTAAAAGAGTAGAGCATTTAGCAAAAACGGACTTCAAACTGCTGAGGGCGGTCTCCACTGTTCCTCTTTTCTCCCCAGCCTCGACCTTTCATGTTGAGGTTTTCAGATCTTTTTCTATGCTGACTTTCTTTATTTTGGGAGGTCTTGTAATGACTGTATCTACTTAAATATTTCATTGTTTTCCCATAAAGAAAAAAAATGCGATTGCAGGAACATACTAGATTTCTGGGAACTGTCAAAGTTACAGCTGGGTTCGAGCATTTCCATTGTTCCTTCTCAGCTTGTGATGCCCAGCTCTCTGGGGCATAACCTTGGCTGTCAAACCACACCGATCCCTGTGGGCTTGCTGCAGCCTCTTCCTCGCTCATTGCCCTCCAGAACGCACTCTATCAGAATCAGCATTGAGGTTGCAGAAATGCTGCCATTTTTCTGACAACTGTGGAAGCTGTGCGTGAATCCAAGCCAAGTCTCCTAGCAGCTGATTCATTTTCCAGCTAACAAACTTTCTCTTCTTCCCGTAGAAGTTTCAGTTGCCAGCAAAGGAAACCTGTGTTGGGTGTCAGAAGACAGTGTACCCAATGGAAAGGCTCCTGGCCAACCAGCAGGTGTTCCACATCAGCTGCTTCCGCTGTTCCTATTGCAACAGTAAACTCAGGTAAACACGTTGCTCCATTTGGCTGCCTTCGAGGAAGTGTGGCTTTCCTATTCTCAGAAGCTGAGTAAGATGCTGTCCAGGCTTAGCAGAAGTGAAAACAACTGTAATCCAGTGAATTGAATAGGAGCGTGGTAATGCAGTCCTAGATCTGCCAGTTGCTTTTGCACTTAATGTGTTTTGTAACTCGTAAAGTCACTTTATGACAGAAAAATGTAGTGTCTACATCTTGATACTTGAAAAGAGGGTCGTGCAAACACATTAAAACTTCAAACTTTAATTTTTTAAATCTGATTTTTTCAGCAACGTAACTAAAATATACCCTTGTCTCAGCAGCTGAGAAAAAGAATGCTAACATCTGATTTTGTATCTCTCTGTACAGTCTTGGGACGTACGCATCTCTGCGTGGGAATATTTACTGCAAGCCTCACTTCAATCAGCTCTTCAAAGCTAAAGGTAATTATGATGAAGGCTTTGGGCACAAACAGCATAAGGAATTATGGTCAAGCAAAACAGAATGTGAGGAATCCCAAGACAAAACTCTCCATGGTGTAAATGCAACTGAGAGTCCTCAAAACCCAGGAGTAGAGGATGCCCCCATTGCAAAAGTAGGAGTTCTGGCAGCAACTATGGAAGCAAAAGCTTCAGCTGTGCCTGAAAGAGAAGAGAAACCAGCAGAAACAAAAAAGCTCAGGATTGCCTGGCCGCCTCCATCTGACCAAAGTACTCAAGGAAGCACTTTGGATGAGGGCATCAAAGTGTTAAAACCCAAATGGCCCCCAGAAGAAGAGAGTTCCAAGCCAGATGTGTTGGAGGATGTGGATCTGGATCTCAAAAAGTTAAGAAGATCTTCCTCACTGAAGGAGAGAAGTCGTCCGTTTACGGTAGCAGCCTCGTTTAGAACAGTATCTGTGAAAGGCCATAAAACAGACAATTCATCCTCTCCTTCTAAGGCAGAGAGAGACATGTTGAAAAGAAGTGAGGAACTGGAGAGAGAGGTTGTGGTAGACAAAAAGCAAAAGGAAAAGATTGAGAATAGGAACATGCAGAATGCTGAGGAGAAAAATGTAGAGGAAGAGCGGGAATTGCCTGGTATCAAAACAGCAGAACACAGCTTTGTAGAAAATGGCCAGGAGAATGCAGAGACAGATGAGGAAGAACATGGTGTGGAAGAGCAGCAAACCCCAAATGAAGAATTCCTTGAACCAAATTCTCCAAAACATTCCAGCTTATCCAATGTAACTGCAAAGGAATCTTCTCCTGACCAGAATCGCAAATCCCAAGATGTTGGTTTCTGGGAGGGTGAAGATATGGAAGATCTATCTGTGGAAGAACAGATCAAAAGGAACCGTTACTATGAAGATGACGATGAAGAATAAATAGGCCTTTTATTATAAAACTTGCTTCAAGGTGCTGGGCCTTTTTTAATTGGTGTTTTTAGCTTTAACAAACAGCTGTCCTGTATGAAAGCGATGCTATACTGCACATCAACGTTAAGGGAATCATATATACAAATTATCTCAGCCAGAAAAGTACTGTGGAAGCCTGAAAGAATGTCTGAGTGCATGGAGATGAGTATCTGTGGCTGTGGGATGCCTTTGACAGGTGACCTCTGTCCATGGGATGAGAACAGAGCTCTTCTGAACTCCTACTGTCTTACCCTTTTGGAACTCTAGGACCTGTTTCACTGACCTGGTATGGAACAGGCTTTCTGTAAAACACTACTTTTACCACTACAAAATGCTACTGCAGTGCTTAGGGACCAGTTTTCAAAGGGACTTTCTGATCTGCTTTAAAAATGGTAACTAAATGCACTTTAATACATGTTAAGGGCACAGCTTTTTAATTATTACAATAAAAACACTTTTGGGGCTTGGAGTCCAACAACTAAAGCATCTCAAACTGAGCAGAACGTAACTTTCAAAACTGCCTATGATCAATGAATCCTCCATTTTTCTCTGTGCAACTGGAACAGTGTGCCCACTGCTGGAACAAATGTATTTTAGTGCTTATCCAAACGCTGTGCTGACAGAACTCCTTGAGGGCAAGACAACGTTTTTGCAGGAGCCTGCAGGGCATTATTTTTGCATTTTTATATGCATTTTGAATGGTTTTTTGTTTACTTAGAGTTCATTATAATTCATTTAAAACTGCACATAACGTTTTTAAGGCCTTTTGACAATTTTGAAATCCTACTTGTATCGAGCTGCCATAATTTTTTTTTTCATTATGGCTGCGAAATTCTGCTGCATTGCAAATCTTTGGAATAAAACCATATGAACCAGAAACTTTCTGATTGCTAGCATTGAAGCTTAGTACATTTTAAAACTTGACTGCATTTATTTTACAAATAATGGAATCTGAATGGTGGCCGGAAGATATCCCTTTATATTAGCTTTTATTTGTGCTGTAGTTACATGAGAATTAACTCTAACTATATTTGAGGTGTAAAATATCCTGCTTTCTTAACAGTCCTGCTAACTTCAATAAAGTTTGGTCATTTACATAAAAAAAAAAAAACGTCTGAAGACTGCATTCATAGTCGTTTCACAAAGAAGCACCATTTTAAAAGGAGATGGGAAAAGATGGGTGAAATCCTGGGGTTTACTTGCAGCTGGAGGCCAGGCAGTGACTTTCTGGTGCCACTAGGTGACACTGTGGGTCCACTTGTGGTCGTCACAAGCAGACTGCGAGGCTGAGGGAGAGGGCTTAGAAAAGGGTGGGCAAAATAAGGAAGGACTCGCAGGTGTCTCACGCTCCCGTTTCTGGCTTCAGCTGCTTTTCAGGCAGCTGAGGACAAGCCAGAGTTGGTTTAGTTTAATTGTTTCTTTCTTACAGCTGCTGTGTGTTGGAGTTGTCCTCACTCAAACCTGGGGTACTTTTGGTTCGAGGTTTGGGTGTAGTGAAAAAGCAGTGAGTGCTCTGCAGCAACAAAGCAAATGTGCTCCTTGGTGGCACAGAGAAGATAGCAGCCTGCTGTTGGGCTAGCATGCATTAGTAGCTGTGTGGCATGGCATGTACAACCTGTGTGCTGGTTGTTTTTAAGAGAGAACCAAGCCTTGTACAGGTAGAGGGAGATCTCAAAGCTAGGGAAGCTGATGTACAAGTGCATCTTTTGTTTAGCCTCTAAATGCTTACCTTTTCTTAACGACATCTACTTGCTCTTCAATTCAGATCACCAAGCAACTCCGGCTGGAAGCTATTGGTCATGGACATGGGATGTATTGGATGTTCCATTTCCTTGTTTATCAGGAGATGCAGCCGAGCTTTACAGTGCATCCCCACTTACATGATACTAAAGCTGCACGGTGGCTGTTCAGAGATTTGTTCTGGTTAAATCTCAGCCACCTGTGAGTCCTTGAGATGCAAGGATTCCAACCACTCAGTGAACGTATTCCCAGGGCAATTAGTGCTGAACTTGTTCCACTGAAAAAAGCACAGATATTATGAACTGCCACCTCCTTGGACCCATTGGTTACTGTAGTAGTTGAGTGCTCAATGGGCCATTTAATTTACTCTCAGCTGGATGGATGCCAGAAGGGCTATTATGGGACAGATGGATCTCTGCTACCACACACAGGGAAGCCGGTGCTGAGTACCTCTATGGAGAGCTTTAGAACATAATTACAAAGCAGAATACAGCCTTTGTTCCTTGGTTAACACTCAGTCCCGAGCCCATCACGTTGAAATAATTTTCTGAAAGCTTTTAAAGCTACTGGGATCATTCTGAACGTTTTTGCTGTGTGAACCTCTCTGTTCTGCACTTAAATGCTAAACCACGTCTGCATTAATAAAATGAGCCCTTGTTGTCTCACTATGAACTCCTCATGTGAGAGCTGAACGGCTGCCCTGTGGCAGTGAAGCTGAAGGCCGCTTCTCGGGGCCTTGGAAAACAATCTTGAGACTTTTTAAAGCAGAACAATCAGCGCGCTTTTTTTTCTTTTTTTCTTTTTTTTCGTAGGAACGCCCCAGCAGCGAGCGATTGCCGCCAGTTCTCCTCAGTGAGAGCTGCGGGCCGAGCGAGTCGCGCGCGCTGTGCTCTGCGCATGCTCCGAGTTAACGGTCCGCGAAAGGGGCGTGGCCAGGGCAGCACCGCCCCGCAGCGCCGCCTGCGCATGCGCCCTGAGCGGCGGGCGGAAGCGGGTGGGCTGAGGCGCGGAGCTCCGCCCGCTGTCGGTGGCCGCCGCCGGGGCGGGAGGGGGGGTGAGGCGGAGGGAGGCAGCGGAAAATGGCGGCAGCCGCGGTAGCGGCGGTGCGGGCCTGGTTCTGGAACGAGCGTTTCTGGCTGCCTCACAACGTGACGTGGGCCGACCTGGCCGGCGAGCCGGACGGCGGGCTGCAGTACCCGCGGGCGAGCCACGTCCTCTCCGCCTTCCCGCTGGCGCTCGGTATCTTCGCCGTGCGACTGTTGTTCGAGAGGTGAGCGCGGGGCCGGAGCCCTCTCGGAGCCCCGCGGCCATCAGGCGGCGGCCGCTGCCCTCTCCGCGCCGTGGTGCAGTGCGAGCCCGTCGGGGTCTCTTAGCAACGTGCGGCGGAGCGGGGCGGGCTGCGCGGCGCTGGGCCCGGCTTGGTTTGGCGCCCCTTCGGTTCGGCTCGGTTCTGCTCGACCCGGCTCGGTTCGGAGTCTCGTTCTCCTTTCAGGTCCCGCGTAGGCCTCAGGCCTCCGCCCGGCGCTCCTTTCATCTCTTTGCGCGGGGAGGGAGCGTCGTTGGGGCCCGAGGGCTGCGTGTGTCACGGCGGGGGAATCCCGCACGGCCCTCCCGGCCTTTCTGTACGGCCCTCCTGTGCTTTTCGGGGGCTTCGGGGCTCCCCTGTGCCGTGCTGTGGGCCCTGGCAGCCCCCTGTATGCTGAGGGGTTGCAGCACGGTTGTCAGGAGAACCCCTCCTTTATTTCCCATTGCCTGGAAGTCAGCCCTGTGTGTGTCTGAGGGTGTTGGGCTGCTCGCTGTCGGTGATGTGCTCTCCCTGACAGTTCCTGGCTGAGGAGTTCAGGCCTGCTCTGCTGCCTGCTGTGTTCCTCGATGCTCTGTGGGTCCCCGCAGTGCTGGAGGTGCGGTTTGGATGCTGTCTGCCCACGGACAGGTGTGGTGCAACTTTTCTCAGTCGGTTCAGCATCCCATAGCCGTGTGTTACCTCTCCCCTGAGGCAGCAGTTTCTGCTCTTTGCGATGGATATCTCTTGCAGCACATGGAGCAGGCTGTGCGGCTGACAGCGATGCTAATTAGAAAAGTGCCTTGGTTAAAGAGAACACTTAGGTGTTAGAAGCCAATTAAGACACCTCAGGTACCTATCCAAATAGTTCATTAAAGGCTGAGTCAGTCCTACGTTTCTGGATGAAATGAGTGGATGTGTTTCTCTGTGGAAAGCATTTAAGTGGCCAGGGACTGAGTTGGTTTCATTTTTAAGGTTTTCTATAGGAAGTGCTTTTTTTAAAAAAAAAAAAATTTTGAGCTTTCAAAGCTTAAACAAAATTGGAGACTTAAGCAGAGCAAAAAGAAAGAACTGTGAAGAAAAACATGGGTAGGAGAGAAGTGGGAGCATCTTTTTTTTCCCCCTATCAATCTTATCTCTTTCCCCAGTTCCAGAATGCTGCTTTCAGCTCAGACCAGTGCAGAGGACCTGGTAACAGACACGTGGCAGAGCCAAAGCCCACCCCTGACATCCAGGGCAATCAGCAGATGAGAAAAGGGATCTGGAAGGCAGAGCTGCCCATGGATGTTATGGGGGGGTTTGGGGAAGTCTCCTGGCTGCCCCAGTCCTGGCTGGTTCAGGTAGTTTGAGGGAGGAAATACAAAAGACTGTTTTCTCTGGAGAGAGAGAGGTACAGTGCATCCTGCTGCACCTAATAAGACATCATCCTGCTAGAGGCTACTTTATCTTTGTAATGCTGTGCTTATTAAATTTCTTTTGCTGTGTTATCTCAGGGAAGATTCAGGTGAAGAATTAAATGTTGCAGCAGTACAACCTGGAAACTTGTACTGCTGGCCTGGTTCCTGTGCAGGTTGCTTCCTTTTCTTTAACAGTGCTTCATTGGTGATACCCTGAAGTGAAAGCACATTGTGAGAGCAAAATCCAGGGCTGTTCCTGGGATGTTTGTTTCAAAAGACCGTATGTTTCTAGAAATATTCTCCTCTTTCTCCTACCACTTTGAACATGTCATGATAGTCCAGATTCATCTAATAGCATCCCTTTGTGTGCATACCCCAGCTGAGGCCTTGGGGATGATTAAGTCTTCCTTGATACACAAGTGGCAGTCAGACTCAGTGACTCAGAACTCGAATTCTGCTCTCCTGCTGCTCTTATTTTTCTTTTTTTCCTTCATTTCCCTCTGTGCTCTGTAGGAGGTTTTCTGTGTGAGGAAGTGCTTTTGTTACGCTGACATAACGTTTCTGTGGGTAATGCTCCTGTAAATCAGCCTTTGCATCACAGTATTGGTAAAATACTCACTGGGCTGAGGGAGTGTGGGAATTATGTGTGATGAAGAACTGAGCTTGCAGAGCAGAGAAATGGCCTGGCTGAGCTGGAAGTGGGTTTTGGTGCAGGCAGGAGAAAGATGGACTTCTGCTAACCAATGTGTCAAGTCAGTGTGTTATTTCTTTTTTTCCCCCCACTGCTGTTGTTTCATCCCACTGCAGGCACAAAAAGCCTCACAGGTACTGGGGAAGACCTGGAGTCTGTGACTTGTACAAGGTGATTGTAATTACACTGGAACTCCTTTTTGCTTACAGTCACCCTGGCTCTGAGGAAGGATCTGTGGTTTGTGCTAAGTCTGGTGCAGAAACAAAAGAAAAAGAGTTTTAGACGTTATTTTGTCAAATCTATCTGGAAATTAGGGGCAGTGGTGGAGTGAGCACTGAAACTGAGAGGTCGTGAAGAGATGAACTCTCTTTGGGTATGTTGACTCCAGAATGTGCTTACTCTGTAAATCTTGACCTTAGGGAATTGTTCTTCCTTTCAGAGCTGTAGGAAGGAGTTAGCAGAGAACCTGAACCTTCCAGAACGGAGGGTTCATGAGGTGCAGTGTGACTGGAAAGTGCTTGTTAGATGCACTTAAAGTGCACTTAGATGCACTAGTCTCTGTGTTTGAAAACTGATGCTGGTTTCGATGTCTTAATAACTGGGGTGAAAATGGAGCTGGGTAGGTGTGACTTAGGCCTATAAACACATATGGGTTCATAAAACAGCAATAAAAGCATTTACATGATGAAAACTCCTTGCTGGGAGGGCGCGGCACGATCTCGACCTTGGGAATAGCTCCTGCAGCAGATTTGTGTGGCATCATAAAATAATTAGGTAGGAAAGGGCCTCTGGGTCACCTTGTCCAATCCTTAGGGCAGGACCTGCCTTGGAATCAGCTTGAATTGCTTGTGGTGATGTCCAGTTGTGAACATCCCCAAGAATGGGGATTCTGGATGGAGAGGGGATTCTACAATTAAGTTGGCATTTTCAGGTGGTCAGTGGGACCCTGGGGCGTGCTGCAGAGAGCGTGGCCAGCAGGCAAGGAAGATTCCCTTCTCCTCTGCTCTGCCCTGGGGAGACCCCAAGCTGGAGCACTGGGCCCAGTGCTGGGCTCTCCAGCTCCAGGCAGACTGTGAGCTGCTGGGAGAGCACTATGGAGGGTGCAGAGCTGTCAGGGAGGTGGAAGAGTCCTTTGCAGAGATCTAAACCCACCTGGACGCTTTCCTGTGCAACCTGTTGTGGGGAAAGTGCTTTGGGAGAGCGTTTGGGCCCTGCAGGAGGCTGGCTGTGGGCTGGAATTTGCTCCCTGCTGCATGAAGCCGTTGCTGGGTGAGAGGAGCAGCATTACCACGCTAGGCTGCACTTCCTTAACAGTGTAGAGATCCTATTTCTGTGGCTGTATCTCCATGACTGTGACTTTTCCTCTTTGCTTACATTGATATCTGCTTGCCTCCATGCACCAAGAAATGTTTGTGTGTTTTTTTTGTTTTGCTCTTTGGTCACCTGCACGCTTGGCTGAGTCCCATGCACTGCCTGTAGCCCTGCCTTGCTCTTTATTTTTTTTCCTTTCCTGACTTCTGTACACATCTGTATTTACCCAGTGGAGGAAGCTCATAGTCTGGAGCAATTTTGTGCAAATCTTCATTGTGTTTGTTTTGTATTCAGTGGGTCCTGAAGTGAATTATTTCTGCTTATTTCTCTTTTTTTTTTTTTTTTTGAGGTGATGCTGTTTCTTCTTTCCTTGATGCTTCAGGTTTTGAATTCCCAAATAATGCCACTTTGATGGATCATAGGGGCTTCCTTATTTTCCTCTCTTCCTTACCTGCTCTTAAACAAAAGCAGCTCTTTGTGGAGCTGTAAGCACCATCTTCCAGAAAATGAAACAGAACTGTTTGATATCCGGTGAGCTCACGTGAGCTGCTCTGCTGCTGTTCTGGTGCATCCTGGAGGAAAGAGGAGCAAAGAGATGGGCACTTATAACATCATTAACATCACTTCTGCCTGGTGGTCCAGATGGTGGAGGAAGCAGTGAGCCATCAAAGCAGGGCAGAGCCAGGCTGAAAGGAAATCACTTTTTGCTTTTTTTACTTCTTTAGCTGTGGCTGTTGAAGCAAGCAGGACGTGTGAGAAACAGGGCAGGAACCCAGCGCTACGGCTGCTATTGCTTGGGGGTTATTTTCTAAAAGCAGCAGAGATCATTTAGGATTACTTGTGAGCTGATCAATAATTTCTCAAGGGAAAACCCTACAACCTGTGTCTGTTCTGCAGTGCACTTGTAGCTGTTCCTAACAGAAGCACTGAGGATGTGCTCCCAAGCATGGCTGCAGCTGGAATGCTTATAATAATGATTCTGTTGAATTTGAATCTCATCTTTTAAACACAAAGGGAAATGGCAGCAAATGCGATGGTTGGAAAAAGCAGCATTTTCTGCTTAATCACACTCTGAGTCTTCTAAATGGAATACATATGTATAATGGAGCTGCCTCTGGAACACTCTGTATTTTGAAGCAAAGTAGATGTAATGATGCCAGTGTTGGGTCCTTTTCAAAGTCGTTTTTGAGAAACAGGTTTTTGCATGCTCTCAAATTAATTAGTTAATTAATTTTTTAAAATTTGCTGAAATTGAAAAAAAAGGCTGTTGCTCACCAACAGGAGAGAACGCAATTCAGGCATTCAGTACTGTGTGTGTTTTGTCTCTTGGCCAGTTTGATGCAAAGGTACAGCAAAACACAATTGGTTTTGAATGAGGATGTATATGCGTCAGTTGCAAAACCAGGTTTGTTTTCAGAGTGCCATAAAATTCACCAAGTGCTCAGTCAGCTTTTGGAGAACGTGCTGCATGCAGTGTGAGGTGCTGAGGTGTGGGTCTCAGCCTGACTTCTTCCCTCCCTTGCCTAGAGAAGCAAGCCACTTATGCTTCTCCCTCTTAGGGGAAAAGAAATCTGTGGTTCTGTCTTTTTTGTGAACTGTGTGACTCGAACTTCCTTCTTTTTTTTTTTTTTGAGCTATGTGACACCAAGAAGCATTCTGGAAATGAGGTGTTTGATCTGCGGTGCTGCAGGGGCTCTAGCAGCCCTTTGCAGAGGGCTCATGTCAGTGATTGTTATTTATTTTTGAGTGGTGCCAGTCACGTGGGGAAACGTGTCCTGATCCTGCAAGGCCAGGGCATTTGAACTGAAGTTTTCACATTAAATGTGTTACAATATGTGCTCCCTGCAGTTACCAGTTGGGTTACCTAAAGGTACGTGTTCCTTAGAGCAAAAGTGAAGATCTTCAGAAGCATTTTGGAGAGGTTTTGCAGTCGGTGAGAGGCTGGGCGAGGAAAACATGCCTTGTTTTAATCCATCTCTTTGTGTTTCAGGTTTATTGCCAAGCCGTGTGCCATAAACCTCGGCATACAAGACAGTGGAGCTCACAGAGCCCAGCCCAATGCGATTTTAGAGAAAGTGTTTACATCCATCACGAAGGTGAGTTTCACTGCTAGGAACAGAGACCTGCAAAGGTGAGGGTGTGGGTTTCTGTCTCCCACTTCTTTGGTTTAAGAAATGTGTTCCATCCACACTGCATTCATCCACGTGTTCTTTATTTTCCATTGCCTCTGACATGTCCGTCTTGTAGGAAAGTAAATTCTCTTTATGGCTGATCTGTGCTTTTGCACACAGAAGAATCTTTTCTGAATCAAAATTGTCCTCTTTTAAAATAAAAGTTTTCTTCCTTTAGTTCCCTGCTTTTGTCCCAGCTGTTACTGCTGTAATGGGCAGTAATTGTTGGTTTACAAAAAAATTGCCTGGCATCTTTCACTTCCTATTGGAAAAGCACTGCTCTGTTGTGATCTGCTTCTCTGCTTTCATTGGCCATCTGGGGGAATGCTTTCCTCTTCCTGTGCCAAGTGGAAGTCACTTGCTCAAGTAAAAGCATTCTGTCCATGGAAGTGCGCCCTGACGAGTGGTGGGATGCTGAATGTTGGCAGCAGGTATTGCTTTTATTCTACATTTCATGGCTTTTCTCTTGCTTGAGCTGGCAGTGCTCCTTCACTTCAGAATGACAGAGCTGCGTGCTGTCTGTGCTTTTGGATGTTGACAGTTAAATCAGCACAGGTGGTGGGATAGATTTTCATTAAAGATACTGAAATGGAAGGCTTTATGTTCTCGTTTGGTGATGCTGAACTCCATTTTGAGTGGAGCAGAAAAAGCACTTGGTGAAGGAGGGGAAATTCTACAAAAGCCTCAGCAGAACTCACCTCATGGGAACAGTGAGGTTCAGGAGCACTTGGGATGAGACGTGAACAGGAAGGCCCCTGTGATTTGATGCCATTTGCTGGGAGGGCTTTAATGCAGGGGATGCCCTTGAAATTAATGTTGAGGAAACCCACGGGGTTGCGTGCTGTGCAGTACTTATCTAGCTTCTATGAAAAACAGAGCTTTGTTTAACTATGCCAGTATGCTCGTGTGCTGTCAGATTTGGAGAATGGAAATGTAGGGTGGCTCTGATGCAGAGGGAAGAGATTTCATTATTATCTGCAGTGAGAAAGTCCTGGTTTCAGTACTGCAAATCAGATGACAGATTATCTTGTTTTTCAGTTCAGCAATCTGGTGACTCTGTATTACATGAGCATTCTACATAGCTTTCTGGGTTTGTTTGTAACTTAAGTGGTAAAATGTGTTTATCGTCTTTCAGTTATAAGAGCTCCCTGGCAGAGCTTGTTAAAAGGACACTGGTCTGAAACTAGCGTGGCTTATCTCACCATGGGCCATTGTAGAGGTAGTTATCAGGTTTTGTTCACTCTTTCTGCTCCTGTAAATCCACTGTCGTTGTTCAAACAAACTGCCAGTAGAGTTTCCAGTGAGAGAACAGGGATGCATTCTTTATTGTGCAACTATTTCCGTTTTCAAGTTTAATTGTATCCATGCACTCTAAAAGTGGTAATGGAAATGACGCCATCTCTCTGATGCCTTTTTTGAATCTATAAACATCAGATGTGTTAAAACCGAATTCTTACTTTAAAGTTTCCATAAACTTCACAGTGAATCCTGTCCCTTAACTGTATTCAGCTGTCATGTTCTTGAGTTCCAGACAGCCTGAGTTGATCTGCAGGTTTTAACAGGTAGCACAGGGCATTTTAAAAGCCCCTCCTCTCCTCCTCCCAAACTAAGAAACAGAACTACATTCTCTGTAGTGATGTGCTGTCAAATGATGAAGTAGATGAGGAAATGTTAAACCACAAGCATTCCGAGTACTTAAGTAATTAGTGGCTTTTGAAAGTTGAACATGAATGAGTATGGCAACAGGTTCCTGCTTCTGGCATAGTGCTAGTGTCAGGGTTAAAAATGTACGCAGTGCCTTCGTTGTGGGTTTTGTCATCTGTGCATGGGTCCTACTGTAGTGTACAGAGGATGTCAAACTGAAAGCAGGTCGAGAAGGAGGAGAACTGACGTTTGTTTCATTTTCCTTCAGTCTCCAGATGGAAAAAGGTTAGAAGGCTTGTCAAAGCAGCTAGACTGGGATGTTCGAAAGATCCAACGCTGGTTTCGGCATCGGAGGAACCAGGACAAACCCACCACCATCACTAAATTTTGTGAGAGCATGTATGTTCGTGCAGAGGCTGGGATGTGCCTCCATCTCAGAGCTCCAGCTCTTTGTTCTCTCTTCTCACTGAAGTTGTGGTCAGCTGTTAACTTAAACTGGTGCCTGGGGGTTGGCTGGCAGGAGGGAAATTCTCCTGTAGGCAAGTGGAAGAAGTGAGGAGAGCTTCATAGCGTTCAGCTATGTTTGATATATGTACATGAAAGCCCAGAACACTTGCACAGGAGTTACTCTTGTCAGTGATGTACAGCTTGTGAGAGTGAGCCATGGCCATAACGTGGGCAGTGACACTTCAGTGTGTGTGTACACATCTGCATGTGCACAATTCAGTAATTACACTGAAGACAAGCTGGCTGTCTGCACAGTTATGCTGTAGCATTTTTCCCAGGCACGGTGACCTTATGGCTTACAGTGATGTATGTACTTCTATGGACACATCCTGGATTTCTCTGCTTTTCCCTTCAGTCCATTCCTTTGTTCTTTGTTTCTTTCTGAGTGCTTGTAGTTCCCCTGTTAGTGCAGTAGCATCTGAGTGCTTCTTTCCTGACTTGTTTTCTTCTGTGCTGGTTTCTTTCCTTTCCAGTAATTTTCTTCATATTAATTCTTCCTCCAGTATGATTTTGCCTACTTAAAGCCGCAAGGTAAGAAGGATAATTACATGTATTAGGATATCTTCTGAATAACAGCTACTTTTCTTGTTATCTTGACATTGTGTATTAAAGCGTATGAATGCTGCATGCTCACTCTGAACTTGGCTGTCAATGCAAACAAGTGTGGTGTGAAAGCTCTCAAATGGGTTTGTCCTCACACAACGTTTACAAATGAAGGATTAACAATTAGTGGGTGAATACTTTTCAGCTGTCAGAATTGCTTTTTTCACAGTTGTTTCAGGTTTTGTTACAAATATGAAACAGAAACGATTTCTGGTTCATGTTTTTGTATTTTGCTTTTTTTTTTTTTTTTTTCCAGGTGGAGATTTACCTTCTATTTAAGTATATTTCTTTATGGAATCAGGTTTCTCTGGACGGTGAGTTGATCTGGCACACCCCTCCTCACCCTCCCACCTGGTTTTTCTGTGTGTTGTGCCACTGGGTTCGCACTGCACTGCTGAAATTTCAGGGCTTTGACTACAGTGTCCCTTCTGTGCTTGCACCTAGCTTCAAAGAAGAGGAGTTTGGCAATAGTCACCTTCGTGTGCCCTTATTTGAGATCCTGGAGTTTCTATGTAAAGGCCACTTTGACAATATGAGAAAGCTTCTAAACAAATCTGTCATTATGGAAATACTAGAAGTTTATTTGTTACTTTACACCAGAATAGGACAGACCTGACTTCTTGGTGTGGAGAGGTTTTGCTTTCTTCCCATAGGGATACACATTTATCTCTGGGTCTTTATTATGAGAGCTGCTTGCTTCTTTGAATTTCGGTTGCATTACAATTTGCCTTTGGGTGCAGAATGATTATTTCAAATCGTTATTTTGTCTTACAGTAAATTTAGCTTGGAACGAAGGTAAAATTTCAGTGAACTGGAACTGTATTGGTTGATGCCTTAGATAATAGGGAATTAAAAAGACCAGCAGAATAATAAACTCAACTTTTCCCTTCAGGCACCCTGGTTTTGGGACACACGACAGTGCTGGTACAGCTACCCCTTTCAGGTAGGAGATAAAAGCTTAGTAGATTCAAATCTCCTGTGCAATTTCTTATTTCTGTTAATGACAGCAAGTTGCAATTGGGTAGTCTCAACTCTTTCTCGTTCTGTGGATGCTACCCAGGCCTGGTAAGCTTCCCAAGTAGTGAAGAGCCATCCCTTTTTGAAGGCACAAAGATAACAGTGTTTTGTGTCTTCCAATTCTGGTTATGTAGGTTTGTCAACAATGGTGTTTCCTCATATAGAGTAGACTCAACTCCTATTTGTTTGCTGAGATTATAAAAAGTAACTTACTCACAGTGTTATTTTAATTATGCATCAAGTGTGATTGTGGAGAGGCCAACCAGTGTGGTTCAGTTTGTTTTTCCTAATCCAGGAGGCTGCAGTGCAATTTGTAAACTCTGAGCTTCATTCAGAACCTGAGATTCTCCTGTCAAACACGCAAGGTTGCTTGTGTGACTGAGCCTGTAGGAAGGCGGCTGTTGCTTAAGCTTGTGTTAACTAAGCCTTAATTCTGGATCTTTTAACTCATGCCTCATCATTCTGAAGGGAACACAGCAGGAGAGAAAGGAAGGAAAAAGTAGATTGTAATGTAAATTTTGAAGTAGTTTGTCTTCTAACTATGCTGTCTTTGTTTGTTTTCCAGCCTCTAACATCCAGGCTTTATTATTACTATATCTTGGAGCTGGCCTTCTACTGGTCTCTCATGTTTTCTCAGTTTACAGACATTAAACGGAAGGTGAGGTTAACCAGAATTGCACTAACTGCTTTGCTGAATAGACCAGGCTAACAAAAACTGTCAGTGTGCGTGGCCAGTAAAGCTGAAACGTAGTAATAACAGAATTTTCCTCATTCACATCTCTCTGTAGCTCCTTCTCTACTCATTACAATCCTAGAGGAAGGGAGGAGTGAGTTGCTGTGTGACCTGGTGTGTCCTTGAGAGGCTCTTTCGTCTTCCAGGGGAAAGAACAGAATCACTCAATACCTCCTAATAAACAGTTAGCAAGTTGCTGGGGGGAAAAAAAAGAGATTTTGACTTTAAGGCTTTCAAAAGGACAGGAAAATAAAATGCTCCAAGCATCAGCTTGCTGAGCAGGATGAGAAAATGGCAAATGCTGAAGCAATAATACGTGCTTTTTGAAAATAATTTTTTGTCTTGTGTCAGAATGATGACTGGTCATGATTGCTGGAATCTAATTCTGTTGTGCTGCATTCTAGGATTTGGTTCATTGTTGCTGTTGGAAAACAGTTCATAGTAAATCGTGGCTTATTGCTTCTGCTGTACAAACTGCAAAGTAACAAAGTATTCCCATTCTTGCATCAGCTGTAGGAGGAAAAAAAAAGTGATTGTTTTTTTTCTGTACTGAAATATTAGCTCCAAGATGCAAAATAACTTGGAGCTGCAGAAAAGAAGTGAATAACAGCATCTGTGATACTGTTTACAATATTTAATTCTATATCCTCTGTTACACTCCCCACGGTAAGGTGCACTGATGTAAAATGTAAGCATTGTACCCAGGGGACTGAACTAGAAAACAGCCCTGAACTGCATTGAAAAAAGTTTTTGAATGGAGCAGCCCAGCTCTTGCTGTTGGATTATCTTCTGTTCTGTGGCTGCTATGCTCTGGCAGGCTTTTGCATGCTGACAACGGTAACAGCAGCGTACTTATAATTTGTGCCAAGTGCTGAAAAGACCAGCAGTGTGACTGTAAAGCCAAAGGGAACCAGAAATAAGGGCCGTATGTTGTCCTGTCAATCCTTTCAGAGGATTCTGCAGCCATACTTGTCTTTGTCTTGAGCGTTTGTGCCAGAGATTGTGCTGTGCCTGTGCATGCAGTTACAGCTTCACAGAAGCACGCATGCTGGGAGAGACCTTTCTGGAGCCTGCGGTGATGGTGGCTGATGTGTGATGAGCTGTGCTTTGTGTGGAGTCCGAGTCTGAACTGAAGTCATCCTGTGACTTCAGTTGGTCAGTCTTGTGGCTCTGCTCCAGGCATACGTATTTGTTTGACAGCCAAAGGATCTTAATTCATCTTTCTGTTTCCAGGACTTCCTGATCATGTTCGTCCATCATTTGGCTACAATTGGGCTCATTACGTTCTCTTACATGAATAATATGGTGCGTGTTGGAACACTGGTGCTGTGTCTCCATGATGCATCTGATTTTCTCTTAGAGGTAAGTTTCCTTTTCAGTCTTTCTGTACCTAATGCTGGGGTGCTCTCAGGGAAGCAAGCAGACTTCCCCATTTTTGCTGAGCAGCATTAAACATGCTGTAATATCAGCGTTACTGATCCTGCTTTGTCAGCTTTTCCTCATAACTGCTGTCGTGCTGAGAATAATCCCTAAGTATTCCTAACTCCTTACAAGCATGATGTCTTGAGGATTTTGGAGTTCTATAGCCTGGTAATTACATGAGTGCACAAAGGGAGTAATATTCTCATTCTCATCTCTTCTAGGCTGCAAAGTTAGCCAATTATGCCAAGTACCAGCGTCTCTGTGATGCCTTTTTCATGCTCTTTGGTGTTGTGTTCATTGTTACACGTTTGGGCATTTATCCATTCTGGTAAGCACCTTGAACTGTAAGGTCTTGTTTGTTTATTCAGTCCTTTAAGAAAAGCATTTGTACCTCTTGCAAGCAGTGCAGAATGTCCCTTACGGCAGCCTGAGGTTGCAGACAATCCAAGTGCTGTGTGGAGCAGTGCTTTTAAACAGGAGTATGAAGAAACCTCTCAGCAGTCAGTAAGAGAGAGTGTGAGAAGTGACTGGAATCTTAACACACAGCTGGCCTCTCTTTCTCTTGCTGTAAAGTGATGACAGCGCTCATTAGTGGAGCACAATCAGCTGCTATCTGAATAGCTCAGAGTACTGTTTGCTTCTCTTGACTTGAGAAGTTTTGGAAATGGTTACTGAAGAGGCATAATTTCTTGAAGAAAATTTAATTTCTGAGTATCTGGCTTAGTCATCAGTGCTGCTTTTGATTTCTTGTGTCTTGCCCTTGAGTCGTGACTGTTTAGAGCCTGAAATAGGTCTGAAGATTCTTGTATGTGAGGTGCAACCCTAAACAGATTATAGCTAATTGTTCTATAATGAAGTTCTCTGCTGACCCAGTAGGTCAGGCTCAGTGAGGGTGGTCGTGGTTATGTTCTCTACCTTCTTTCTGTTGAAAGAGTGCACAGAAAATTTGTCTTGGTATCAGAATTGCAATTAAAGCTCTTGTTTCCCAGCGAATGCATCAAGGGAATCAAGATAAGGAAGGGTTTTGGTACTCAAGTCTGCAGTTTCTTTCCCTTGATAGATGAGATTGTTGTCATTGTTCTCCTTGCTGTAGTCTGTTGTGAGGTGATGCTCTTGCATCATGCTATTACTCAGCAGCCCTGTGAATCTTTAATGTGTTTTCCACTGGCTGTAATGTAACTCCTCATCTTTACAGAGAAATCTGACAAGCTTGCTGTGGTATTGCAGACCTTATACTAGTTCAGCTCACGTATATTCACTTCCCTGTTTAGCAGTGTAAAGCACTGCAAGACCTCTGGAGCTGCATACAGTTCACTAATAAGCTGGCCACAAATTAGCTGTTCCTGTAGCTGCACTTTGGGGCCTTGGGTTCTTCTTCGACAGGCTTGTTTCTCTTTTCCTGTGAAATGTTAAAAGCTATGCAAAACTAATGGTGCCTTTAAAGGTCTCTCCACGCATCTCTACTTCACGAAATCTAAATTGTTTAATACATCACTTAAGTGCTGGCAATAACTTCCAGCGATGAGAACAGCAAAACAGTCCTGAAAGAAACCAAAAATGCTTTGTCTGTGAAGCAGTTTGTTGTCTTCCAGCTTGGCAGGAGGAATCTAAAAGTAGGAGGGAAAGGAGAGAGGCCAACTAGGAATAAAATCTGCATGGTTTTTAAAAAATGGGTGAAGGATGAATGTGTTAACAGTTGTTTTAGTGACCAGAGCAGTTTGACATCACTTCCTGTAAAGTTATTATAAACTCTGTTGAGAAGGAAATTGGCAGCAGATCCGTATGCGTAACCAAACTGCATAACATTCACGTCTTCTGTTTGTTGCTCAGTTCCAGTGTTTCTAATTGGATTTAGTCTGTCTCCCAACTCTGGCCAGAGATCAGATGCATCACCGCTCTGACAGGAGCAAAGCAACAGATGCTTAAGTGAGATGCACACTGCTGTGCATCTGGCCAGTCATCTGAATGGAGAGCTGGAAGCCATACTACCAGCACAGCCGATCTGTAATGTGTTTCTGGATCTCTTAGGATTTTGAATACAACGCTATTCGAAAGCTGGGAACTGATTGGGCCTTATCCTTCCTGGTGGCTGTTCAATGGCCTTTTGGTAACCCTGCAGATCCTGCATGTCATCTGGTCCTATCTCATTGTTCGCACTGCCTACAAGGCCCTCGTGCGGGGAAAGGTAAGGTGTTGGGGGCTGGTTTGGGTCCCCTTTTCTACAAGCTCTGTGAAGGAATTAAGAGAAATGGAGCCATTAGCAAGGGCTGGTGCTAGTTCTCAAGGTAATTACATAATGATTGCTTTGTAGAGCAGTTGGTTTCTTTTTTTTAACCCTGGTTACTCTGCAGACCAGAGCTGCCAAATACATACAGAGGCAGGGATGCTTTCCTCTCTGTTCTGTTCATGCAAGGAAACACCACCATTTTCCAGTGCACTGAGATATGATGACTGCATGTTGCTTTGTCTGGAGTTAAAGGTGGTAGAAAGCTCTTTTTAAAATAATCATTTAGAATGTCTTTCAGCTCCTAGCTTTCCAACATCTGCTGATTCTTGGGTTGCACTGAGAATTATGCATCTTCCCTTTTAGCAGTGAATGGCTTTTGTTTGCCGGTGGGAGCCAGGCATTGAGGTGCAGAGGCAAAGTTTCCAGTACTCTCAGAAGTACTGGAGAGCAAGCTGGTTGTCACTGGGCTAATGGGGTGCAGTCTAGCTCCAGTTCTAAGTATTCCAATTTTAGCTGGGGGAGGGAGGAGGGGAGTGTTGAGAAGGGGGAGGGTTGAGACTCCAGCAGCTGGTAAGTGGCAGATGTTATCCTAAGAGCAAACAGTGCTGATGTTGGGCTGTAGCCTAAGTTGCCAGGCTTAAAAGTTGTACTTCAGCTGGAGGCATGAGACAGGGCAAGCAGCCTAGGAACTGTTTGACACCCAGCCAGCCCATCAGAAGCCACTTCCTTTGCATCTACCAGAGCGCAACAGATGGTTTGCTAGCACAAATGCCTTTTTTGTCATCTATCTGATATCTTGATCTGAGTTTCTCTTACAGCTATACTTTGTGTTTGACTTCTTAGCTGCCCACACATGAAATATAACCTTGAAATATATATCTGTTTATGACAGTGTTTGTCAGGGGAAAATGTATTTTAGAGCATGCACAGGAGTTTGTCATCTGTTCCCCACAGCTGCTACTGCAAGGCTCTTATTTTCTGTGCAGCTGTTCCTACAGCTCAGGTCTGTGTCTTTTCCCTTTCCTTGCTTTTCTCCTGTCCAGGTGACCTAGCCAGAGAAGGGACTCTGAGCTTTGTCTTCTTCACTCTTTTCTCACTCCTTTTCCTCTGCTGTGCCAGATTGGAGCTGGACAGTTTCATCCTTTGCATGTAAGTGTGATCTGCACTTCTGTTTCTACCCTGTTTCTAGGCTGAGGGGAACACAAAGCTCTGGTCTTGGGGCTTCAGCTGGGTGATGTCTTCCCTTAAAACGTTTGTTTCCCTGGCTGATGCAGTGCTGGCCCTGATCCAGTTTTAAAATGCAGGTTTCTCCAAAGGTCTGAGCAGTGTTTTGTGGCTTGTTCTGATGTCCTCACTTGTATGATTTGTAGGCTCACAAAGACTCTGATGTCTGTGTCTGTAGTGCTCATTAACACACTGCTGAGTGAAAGAGGACAGCAGAAAAGCAGTCCTTTTTGTGAAAGCAGTTGTGGGAAGTAGAGTGAGACCTCTGCTTCCTTCCAGTGACCCTTTGAACTTCCAGTACAGGAGGAGGTACCAGAAGTTTTGGCTACAGACAAAAGCAAATACACCCAACAGGCCCATCAAAACCTATCCTGGAGATCATTATCTGGCCTTCTGCCACATCTTCCTTGGAGCTGAAACCTTCCCACCAGGTGCTGTTTGAAAGCCAGAACCCAGACACAGAACAGGCAGAGCAGGATCAATTTCTGAAGCACGTGAAAGCAATCTCCCCACAAAGTGCTTGCACGTGAGGTGAATGAGGGCTGTTAGTTGCAGGCAGAAGTGTGAAGAGCCTGCCCTAGGGGATGTAAAGCAGGAGCCATTTGTGCATCCAGGTGGCAATGGTGAGTTTACAGCTCTGGAGCCCAGCCAGCGACCAAGGTGCTTATTTGCAGTTGGGGCCTGGCTTATGGTCCCTTCTTTTGTGTCCTGGTGCACTGCATTTCCATGGCACTCCCACAGCAGGTAGCAGCGACGTGAAGCAGAGCTGTGCCTGAGGGTTGTTCCAAAGGTTCAAAGCCCCACATACAAATGCATTGGCTGACTGTGTAGTCACCTTACAGCCAAAGCCATAACCATAGGGCAGTTCCCCACAGGCTGAGGGGAATTCAGCTCCTGGGCTGGTGTTACGTTGTCGTCTCTGTTCTGCAGCCTGCTGCCCAACTGTGCTGCTCCTCATAAATGATTTCTCACAGATGAACGACAAGCAGTGAAAATGGGAGGCACTTTGTGCAAACAGCAATGTGATAAATATAGCTGGTTAATTTTTAAAATATCAAAGGCAGTCCCTGTAGGACAAAGTGTTCTTTCTAGAACTGATAGATATGTATTTTGTCATTGTATTTGCTGATTGTTATGGTGTGAGAAGATTTATTATTGTTATTGAAAACAAATTTATCTGGAAAAGCAACCTTTAACCAGTCTAGAATGCACCTCTTGGAAGCCAAGATCTCTAACATCCTCTGATGTGATGAGCGTGAAGCGTGGTGCCTCACAGTGTACAGCTTTCAGAAAGCAGAGCTTCTCATTCCCAGCTGTCTTTTTCTACGTCTGTCTTGTGTTCTGCATGTGATGACAGGCTCTTCAAGCTTTAAGTTAATAAGGGTGGAGTGCAGAAGGCAGTTGTCACTGGGGCTGGTTAATCCCTTCCGTACAACCTTCTACTGCTGTAACTGTGAATTTACCAACTTCTCCCCTTTCCACTACCAAATCTCACTTGGATTGTTCAGGTATCCAAAGATGACCGCAGCGATGTAGAAAGCAGCTCTGAGGAGGAGGATGTGACGTCCAACAGCACAAAAGGAGTTTTCAGCACTTCGAGCAATGGCTCCAACCGCATTAACGGCCATGTGGCCGGCGGGCAGTGGACAGAGGAGGAATAAGGCCCTGGGTTGGCCTTGAGCAAACACGAACTTGTCTCTGCATATTTAGATGTGTTGAACTCTGCATTCCCAAGTGATTTTTAATCAAGATACCCCTTCCCCAGAAACCTCCAGCAAATCTGAAACGGGCACAATCCAGACCAGTCCAAGGCTTGGCATGACAGAAGGGAGAAAGCCAATTACTAGGGCAAAGAGCAAGCTGCAGATTTCACTTTAAGCCATTTTGTACTTCAATCTTAGCGCCATCGACGTTTGCAGAGGTATCTTTGTATTTGACAAACTGGTTTGTACTGGGATCAACTCAAGGTGGAATGAGTTTGGGCTCAACTGGCCACGGTTGGTGAATGCACTGCCAGCGACGACGGCTCATTCAACGCAGGGTCAGCATCGTCTCCTTGAGGCACTCCGTAAGCAGCTCAGAGCATGGGGAGTGCCTGGTTTTTGCTCCCCACATACAGGCTGCAGCAGACTCATCCCTTTGTGCTACAGCCAACCTCTGCGTTGCATTGTGCTACAACAGAAAAGTTGCTCCAGCTTCTCTGGGGTGCTGTGTGTTAAGGAGGCTATAGCTTGTTAACTCTGCTCTCAAGAGGGACCAGGCCAGCATTTGCTGCCTCTTCTGGTGCTGAAAGCCCCTCTGAAGCCTCAGTGACAGCCATCTGAAACAGGGGAGGGGATTCATTATTGCCCCAAAGACAAGTATCACAATATGTACCTTTTAAATCTTCTTTTTTTTCTTTTGCAAGTTGTGGTTTTGAAGACATTTCTAGATCTACTGGATGCAGTTGGCTGAGCAAGGAACTTGAGGGCAGACCAATGCTGGGGGCTGTTCTTAGCTTTCCACATAATGAGGGGTTTCAGTCCTGCTCAACTGTGTTTTAGGACAGAAGTTAGAATGGTGCTGCTCTCATTCTGCAATTTTTGTGGAGGAAATCACTGGGCTGGAAAAGCAGCCACACTGTGGGTTATGCTTCTTTTTTTACTCGATGGTACTTGGGGGCAATGGAGGACCTGCATGTCAGTCACGAGCAGAATTTTGGGAACTTCTTGAGTTGTTACCGTTTTATACTGTTGTTTACTCTTATCTCGATTAAAAAACAAAACAAAAACAAACAAACAAAACCAACAAAGCACTTCAGAACTATGTTTCACTTTGTTAATTTAAAAAAAATGAAATCAGTGACTTTGTCCTGGTGGTCAGCAGGATGATTGTGAACCAGCAGTGTGCCCTGGTGGCCAATGGGACGATAGAGTGCACTGCACCGTGCTGGACCAGCAGGGTAATGGAGATTCTCCCACTCCTCTGCACTGAGGAGGATGCAGCTGGAGCACTGGGCCCAGTGCTGGGCAGACTGGGAACTGCTGTGAGAGCCCCGCGGGGGCTGCAGAGCTAGTGGGGACAGGCTGTGAGAGCCCCAGGGTTGTTCAGGTGGGGGAGGGCCAACAGGGGATCAGATCAACTCTCGGCAACGTCTGAAGGGTGGGGGGTAGGAGCACGGGGCCAGGCTCTTTTCAGGACCAAGGGCCACCGGGCACCAACAGGAATCAGGAGGAAGCCCAGGCACACAATGCCTAGAGAGGTCGGGGGGCTCCTCTGGAGAGACCCAAACCCACCGGAATGCTTCCTCTGCAACCTGCCGGAGGGGTTTGGGCTCAGAGGGCCCTTCAACCCCTACGGCTGTGACCGTCAAGTCCCTTCCCCGCGGTACTCAGCGGGTGCTGACCCGAGATCCCCGTTCTCCGTTCCCCCAGCAGACAGCCGCACAACCACACTCGGGCGTTTCCACGTGGTTTTATTGCGCTCTGGGCCCTTCCGAGAGCGCAGCTCGGCACCGCGGCGGCACCGAGCCCTCCGCCCTCAGCTCTCGGGGCCGGCCGAGGCCTGCCGGGCGCGGCGGTTCTGCAGCAAGCGGTAGGCCCGGACGCCGCACAGGTACCCGCCGTACACCGTCAGCAGCATCATGGAACCGGAGAAGGCCTTGTAGCCGAAATCAGCCAGCTGCTTGCCGGACACCATGGCCGCTCCTGCAACACAGCGCGGCGCTCACACCCAGCAACGCTCCGTCCGCCCGCCCCGTCCCGCTCCTTACCGCCGCCCGTCGGTTCCACTTCCGCCGCCGCGCCTGCCTCAGGGCCGCGCTTCCGCCCGACGCCCCGCCCCCCCCGCGTCACGTGAGAGGGTGACGTCAAGCCGCACCGCCTGCTGGGAGATGCAGTACGCCGAGGCGGGAGGCGGCATCACAGCGCCGCCTCGCGGGGCCGCTCCTTCACCTCCACGGAGCCGCAGGCGCTCAGCCCCCCGCGCTGCATCCCGGCCGCCGCTCCCCGGGACCTGCGCTGCCCTGCTTTGCGGCTCCCCGCGGCTCTCCTGACCTTCCTCAGCACCCTGAGGTGCCTCTGCTCACTAAAAGCGGAAAGCGGAAAGCGGCCCTGTGCGAGGCTGAGGACCAGCGGCCTGGAGGAGATGGCTTTCAGCTTAGGGAGTCCCCACTGAGGGGGGCACTGGGCCTCTCCCCATCCCTGAGGGCTCCCAACCTGAGGAGTTTCTCCAGAAGGACGATGAGAGTTGTCCCTGTGCCCTGTCCCAAGCCCTGCTCTCTCTTCAGGCTGCAGAGCCCTGAGCCATGCAGGAGCTGCAGCACGCAGATGTGCTGAGACTGCAGAACATAACTCCAAATGGCAAAGGGAAGACTTTTTATAGCTTGTGAACTCCAACACTGGTGTGAGGCTTGGGCTGCTGGAAAGCTGGGGACACGGAGCTCCCCCAGGTGAGAGCTGGGGCCTTCAAGGCCTGCAGGAATGGCACAGTGGTGGAGAAATGACTGCTCGGAGTGATGCACCTCCACAGCAGATGGGTTAAAAGCTGAATTCCAGTCCAGAACAAAGCTCTGCATCCTGCTGCAGGTGCTGGCAACAGCAAACTGAGGTGAGAAGCTACAGTGTTTCAAGGGAGGAGAGCTCAGCCACACTGCACGAGCCTCAAGTGGGATTCCTGAAGCCCATCAAGACAAAGGGGAGCAGATGTCGTGCCAGCCCTGCAAGGAGACACTGGGCTTCCTTTATCCTCCCTCCAACCTTGCTAAAAAAGTTCCTCATTAGAGAAAGCCAGAGCTGGCTACTTTGTGTGCTTTTCAGCTCAGTTGAATTTAAAGGTCGTAGGGTGCCACCAAGAATGCACGTCTAATAAAAGGCACAGAAACAACTGCAGTGCCAGCAGATTAAATTCCCCTAGCAAGAGGGTGAGCGGAGAGCTAGCGGGCCTGGAAAGGTCACTCAGTGTGAGATGCATTTCAAAGAAAGACAGTGACTAGGCAGGGGAGAAATGAATAAAACAGCACAGAATGTCCCAAGGAACTGAAACAGCAGAGAAGGGGAGGGCTGGGGTAGCACAGCGGAATCCTGACCTGGTTCCTGCAGGCCCCAGGTGGGATTGGGATTCTGTACCCTGCTCAGCAGTGCAATCTCAACACTCTGCAGCCCTCAGCTAAGACTTAGTGCTGGAACTGCTGCTGAAAAAAATCAAGTGGGATGGTGCGCTGTGTTCTCACCCAGCACTGTCCTGCCGTGTGTTATTACTCACTTCTGGAACAGCACACAAAGCTGCATCCCCAGGAAGGAACTGACACTGCCCTCATCTGCACCGTTAGCAAGAGCAGCAGGCACCAACCCAAAGACAACGATGCACCAGAACCACAGAGTGAACGGCCTCCCCTTCCCCCTCCAAATTTATTATAATTTTACACATTCATGAAGTTCATTGCCAGTCAGAGAACCTGCAGCACTCGGACCTGGCCTGAGGGCATTCAGCAAGACCTGCAGCAGCTCTAGCCTGCCCCGGATGGGAACAGCCAGCCACTGGACACAGTGCCCTGAGCGACAGCAGTAGCAAGCCAGAGTCAGTGTCTGAGGGGCATCTAGCGGCAAGCTGGACAAGGGGCAAGTTTCAAAAGCACAGCACAAGGCATGAGACCTCTGTCCCCTGCTGTGCTGTGGGAGGGCTCTCTGTACCTGTTGTGGATCACGTCCTTTGCTGCCCCTTGTCCTGCCCGTGGGCAGTCTCACAAGAGCAGGGAAAGCGTGGAACCTGCTTTCTCAGCTCTTGTAAATGCACACAGAGAAGCAGAGGCCAGCCTAAGGCACATAGTGGAACAAGCCAGAGAGAAGGCAAAAAGCTGCTGTGGATCATTCCTCTAAGAGCAACAGCCCAACTGCTTTATCAGGTACACTGCCAAGGGCTACGCAGCCCGCCAGCTGCTCAGAAAGACTTCGGGGCAGTTGGTCCCTGCATTGCCAAAGCCAGCCAGAGAACAAGTTGATACGAGGGAGGAGAGCTGGCCAGGGACAGCCAGCAGGCACAGAATTAGCACAGGCAGATCAGTGACAAAAGGAGTCAGAGGCCAGGGTCAGCTGTGAGAACAAAAAGTGAAATCATTGAACTCCAAGGGCTCTCTCTGGAGCTGCCCTCACACAGGCAAAATGCTGGCTGTGCTGTGCAGCAAAAGCAGCTGGTGGTGACTGAGGAAGCTGCACATGGCAGGGGGCAAAGAGCTATTTTATATGCTGGTTCTTAGAAGAGTGATGATCAGCTCCTTTGAAAGTCCTCGGGAGCTTCAGTCTCTTGTGGATCCTGGAAGGAACTGACACAGCCCCTCTGTGAGACAGTTAAAAGCAACAGCAGCAAGCAGGGAAGAGCTAGTGTCATGCCAAGAGGCCCCACGGGGCTAATAGCAAAGCTTGACCTGCCAGGCAGTGCCTCCTGCATAGCCTGGATCGATCACGACGACCTAACAGTCTCTCTGAGAACTGAATCCACCAAAGCAAAAGAAAGGGAAAGGAGGAAGACGCTCAGCCCCACTCAGGGCAGGATCTAGGCAGCAGCAGAAGCTAAATGAGCCCTTCAGAGAAAAAAGGAGATCAGCAGGTACCTCCGTGCAGATGCCAGGCTCAGACAGGGGAACCTCTGCCTTTGCAGTGATCTGCAAAGGCTCCCAGAAGTCTGGACTCCTCACAAAGCTGTAGCAGCAGCAAGGTGGTGTAGGTGGGAGCTCATCCCTCCTCTCAACAGGATTCGTGGTTGTGCAGGCAGAGCCCGTTTACATGTGCTCAGGGTGGTTCTGGAGACACTTGATGACATCAGAAACAGGTTTGCCCTCATAGCAGATCTGATAGACAGCTGTGAAGAGGGGGAACCTACGGGCAGACCAATGCAATCTCTCAGAGTAGAGTCACAGCACCTGGTGCACTGGGCAGCAGCAGCTCATTGGGTGCAGGCAGTGCAGTGCTCACCACAGCATTGCAGACAGTGAGGGAGATGGGGGGGAGTTCCACCCCCAACCCAACCTCAAAAAAGCAAACAAGGGAGATGAGATCACTCACTTATCCACCATGTTCTTCATTTTAAGGATGTGATGCAGCTCAGCAGACGTCTGGGGACCTTGCAGCTTCTGCCCATTCAACATCTCCTTCTCCAGCTGCTCAATAGACTGCAACAACCCAAAAGAGAGGGAGTTGGACACTGCCATGGCATCCAGTACCCCATGTTCACTCTCTGGAGCTGGGTTATAGCACTGGGCAAGTGAAGGCCAATACCCTGGTGCTATCTGGCCCTGCGTAGTTGCAGATTTCAGGCTCCCCTCGCTGCTGCTCCCTGCTCTGCTCACCTTCCCAGTCTTGGCAAAAGCCTCGGCCACTTTTCGGTTGCGACCACCGTAGCAGGTGGTGATGAGATCAGCGATCCCACAGCTCTCCAGGAAGGTGGAAGGGGTGACAGGGCCCTTGCAGAAGATCTTGGCGAAGCTAATCATCTCCATCAGCCCCAGACGGATAACAGCAGCCTTCGTATTGTCTCCAAAGCCAAGACCATCGCAGAAACCAGCCCCTACAGCCACAACATTCTGGAAAACAACAGCACAGAGCGATGTGTTCCCAGCAAAGCCCAGGGCACTGCTGTATCTACAGTGGTGATGCCATCAACAGACTGCTGCTTGCCCCTGCCTGTCTGGTCACCACCACCCTCCAAGCAGCTGAGCAGGACATGCACAGAGCTCCCTCCAAAGCCAGGCCTTCTGCACAGCTGTCTCTGCAAGCTGGAGTGTGATATCCAGAGGAGATCACTCCGTGCTCCCTGCAGAGCTCAAGCCCTGCAAACCACAGTGAGCAGCTCACCCACCTTCAGAGCACCACAGATCTCTACAGTGTCAGCTTCCTGCACCACTGTGACCCGAAAGTTCGGTGTCTGCATCAGCTCCTTCAGGATCTGCCCATACTGTACATTCTTACAGCCTAACGAGAGAGAAGGGACAAGATAATGGAGCAGACCCTAAAGGAGAACTGCATTCCAACCCACCCATGTGGTCTTGCTGCATTCAGCACAGCGAGAGGAATCCGTTGCCCAAATGATGGACATGGCTAAACATTTGCAGGCCCACAGAGTGCCAAGCACACACTGCCTGGCAGATAACCAAGATTCAAACTTGGAATTCCCAGAAGACAGGGATGATCCCTACCACAGAATTGGCACATCCACTTTTAAAGGCATCTTCAGAGATGGCAAAATTTAGGTTTGGAGACTGCTGTTCTCCCTGCAGTGCCCTGCACCAGAGCGTCCCTGCGTGTTCACAGTGACAGCATGCTCTGCTTACTCCTCTCCAGGCTCCTGCATGGCTTGTTTGCTTTGTTTTAAATACAGGCACTTTGAATCTTGTAACTTCTAACCCAGAGAACAGTTCTGTTGGTTTTGGCTGCTGTGTGTGATTCACAAACAGTGTGGAGGATGTCAGGAACTGCCACCAGGTGAACTCTGAAGCAGCCCTGGCTAGCAGCAACACAAGCCCAGGTGAGTGTCCTTTGAAGTCCAATGAAATGAAAGTAAGTGAACTATTTCCTCAAGGGTCTCCCCTGTGGCCACCCCATTCATTTGAGCCAGGCTGACTGCCAGATGTTCAAAGTCAGGAGCGTCCAGATGTTGGCTCCTTACCGATGGTTGTTTCGCAGAACTTCTCATCTGCCACTTCACTGGCAATGTTGGCCCCCATGAGGACACTCATCTCAATTCCCAGTTTCTCGTGGATGATGTCTGAGATCAACCTCAGTCCATCTGGTCCTTCATCCACCCCCTGGGAGACAACCAGGGACAGAGATGAGCTCGTGGCCTGGGAGTCCTGGCCCCATTCACCCCAATGCTGCCATCCCAGCAGCCCCCCATGCTCAGCTGCACCCCACTCCTCACCCATGGGCCCTCACCCATTCCTACCCCATAATACCTCCAAATCCCTGCAAGGCAGTGCCCTGTTCCCCACGTACACCGCTCTAAACCCAAAACCTGTTAATTGCAGGAGAGCAGACGACCATTAAAGGTCCCTGCCAACTCAAAAAATCCTATGATGTTAAGATTCTAAGACTCCAATTTCTCCTCGAAAAGCTCATCACCCTCCTGGCCATGCCTCTGCTCACACCTTGATGAGTGACATCCCGATAGCACCTTTCTTCACGTGGGCCTTGATCTGGTCGCAGACTTTGCCGATGAACTGATGGGGCACCACGAACAGGAGGATGTCAGCCCCGGAGCAAGCTTTCACCAGGTCGGGCTCTGCCACCTGCACAACACAGCTGCCATCAGGAACTTGTCCCCAAGGCTTTGTAGAGGGGGGCCTGCCCTAACCCACAGCAAGAGGAGCAAGGGTTTTGGGGACAAACTGCCCCACGCTCCCCTTCTAGAGGGACTGGAGAACCGCAGAGCGAAAGGCTCAGCCTGGCTCCCTGCGCACCAGCTTGGAGGCAGCAACACTTGGCCTTGAGAGCAGCGAGATGGCAGAGCAGGGGCAAAGGTGGGCAGGGAGAACAACCAGGACAGCAGCTCATCCCAAAGTGCGCCACGAGATCACCGGGAATGCAGGAGCCCCGTCGCACTCCTTCCTTCACGCTGCTGGCACATGGGGCTGCGACAGCACAGCAGCTTTTATTACCTGTCATCAAGGTGATAAAACACGGCCCTCGTGCACAAAAGGCCACCAGCAGGCACTCACCACGTTGTGGGGCAGTTTGTGCCCCGGCAGGTACTTGACGTTCTCGTGCTCGGTGTTTATGATCTCGGTGAGCCGCCGGCCGCCCACCTCCTCCTCCAGCACCCACATGTTCACCGTGTTCTCGAAGGTACCCAGCCGCGCCGCATTGCTGCCCACGATCTTGGCGATGGCCGAGCCCCTGTGTGGTAGGGGAGGGGGTGGGGGGAGGAAGGAAAGGAGCCGTGGGCGGGGGGCACCGGGGCTGCCGGCACCGGGGGGATCCCAAGGCACCGGGAATGACGCAGTGCCCCGGGAGGGCAGCTGGGATTTGGGGACCAGGCGGGCGCTCACCAATTGCCGGAGCCCACGATGCAAACCTTCTTGCCACCCATGGCTCAGAGACGCAGGGCGCTGCGCAGCACGGAGCCCAAGGGCGCTATTTGAAGGTTGTGCCCGGTGGGGCCGGCCCGGCCCGCCCCCCGCCCGCCCCGATCCGCCCCGGCGAACCGGGCACCGGCCCGGCCGCGGCGTTCGCTACCCCGGAGCAGAGGAGGAGCGGCTCAGGTCGCTCGCAGCCGCCGGTACGGCTGTCCTGCCTCTCTCTCCCTCTCCATTTTCTGCAGAAAAGCCTTTTCTTTCCTCCCGATAAGTGCATTTCCCCCCTGCCTCCACCTCCCCCCCCCAGTAGGAAATTTGAACCGTCTGACTGCAGACCCAGAACGCAACCCAGCCTTAACCTCAGCGGCAAGCAGCAGCCCTGACTGCTTGACCTTAGGTGCTGCCCTTGCTTCTGTGCTCAGGATCTCATGAGCGTCCTCAAGCTTTGTGCAAAGCGTTACCTAAGGGCAAAGTCCCTTCTGCACAGCTCTTAACACATCCAGGTAACCTTTTTCTCCAAATTTTGCGGTGTGGGCACTAGGCTGGCTAGCATTCAGCTGCAGCTTGGCCACTGGATTTCCCTTTTTGCTCAAAATCCTTCGCTCTTTTACCACAAAAGCACCCTGGAAAGGCTCAGCCAGAGATCCTTTCAAGAAAGGCACCGTGCAAAAGGCTGAAGTGGGAAGAACATTTTCTCTGCAGTTCCTTAAACCAGCTGGCTTTGTTTAAAAAGTGAAATTAATCCTCTTCCTTCCCAGGCAAATACACGAGTTGTCATCCACCAAGGCAGCTGCTGAGAGAAAGCGTACTGTCAGCACTGAAGGAGGACAGCTTCTTTCACAGGCTTTTATTAAAATTGGGTGACATCTACAAGGATACAGTACAAAAAAAAAAAAAAAAAAAAAAAAAGGTTTTGGTCCATGGGAAAAAAAAAAACCCAACCAACGTAATAGTTAAGAAAAGCAGTTATTCTGCAACAGCTATGTTTGCCTACGCAGTGTTCAGCATCCTTCATGTGCAACTACCCTGAGGAGTCACTGGGCTGCTTCATCAGCACCAAGACCTTCACCCCAGTACCACAGAGGAGCAGTTTCAAAAGGGGGCAAAGGAGAAGGGGAGGGTCTATTACTCACAGACATGTGGGAACACAGACACGGGTAGGGCTCCCAAAATCACAGCAACCTTCCCAACCACACCACAGCAGGGTGCAGGGATGGGGAGGGCTGTCAGTAACATGGTTTCGCAGCTGTTCCAAGAGAACGCGACCAACTTTGCTTTACAGTCCATTTGCATTACAGTTCCAAGCAGAAATACTGAGATCTAGGCTGAGAGAGGTCCTTCTCTTATACCTGACCCCTGGTTCACTAGTAAATAATTCCACGAAGAGGCATAAGAGCTGCTACTCCCCATGGTAAACAAAAAAAAAGTCTACTTGTACATTCCTGATCCATAACTCGACTCAAAAACACAGGAGTTTCAGCATGGAAACATCTGCTAACTCAATACATGCTTGGGGCTTCCTCCACTCCCAAGGGATGGATCCGCACTCCCAGACCCACAAGAAGGAGCCTCTGGTCCCCACAGCAAATGACATGTGATAACAGTCCCAAAGGAATGAGCATACAGTACTCTGCCCCTGCACAATTGCACTGGGCAGCTGCTGCATTCCCTCCCTCTACAGGGAAAGCAAGCAGGCAGCTGGCTTGCTGGAACCATAAGCCGAGGCTTTTTCTCAGCTCTCCAGCACTTCCACATCTGTGCAGTGAGACGATGCTTCATCTCCCCTGTGATTCCCAGCTCAAGGCAGTCTTTCATGAACGTGAAGGGAGCAGGACAAGGAAAAAGGGACAAGGGAAGAAACAATTCTCTATGCAGTCCAGTAACTTCCTCAAGGAGGAGAGTGACCTGTGAGGCAGCCCAGTGCAGCAGCCCCCTCCCAGCGAGGGAGGGGAGGGCTGGAGGTATGTCAGCATCCTGCCCACTCCATTTCCCGGTACCTTGCTACTAACTGAGGCAGAGACCAGACTAGCCACAGAACTCTGCCCTTTGAGCAGATCCTGACTTCCCAGTCAGGTCTCATGTGTGCCACAACTAGATGCTAGTTGAAGAGGAACGGGAAGAGGAAGAGTTTCTGAACTTGAGAGGAGCTCAAAGTCAGCATTCAAACTGGCTACTGGGGACACTACAGGCAGCACGGAGTCTAGGGGAGGCTCTTGGAAGCCTTGGGACTGACAAGGCAACAGTCAGGAAGAAAACCAGGTAGAAGTGTGTACTTGTTGGAGCCTGTCTGCTTGCCACACCCCAGAAGACCCCAGGTGTCGTAGAGCTGCCCCAGCAGAGACAATGCCAGGATGGATGACGGTGCAGGCCTTGGCACCACAGCGTGGTTACGTGAGCCTTAACTGCGTGCTCTGCAGCACCCTGTCTCCACAAGCAGCTCTGATGCCTTCTGGATGGGGAGGAGATGAGGGCCTATGTGTTGCGGATTCCCAGGGCCTGCTCCAGCTCCTGCCGTCTTTGCTGAACCTGGAAGAGAAGAGTTGCAGCATTAACACAGACAGCAGCGCAGTGTTCAAGTACCACAGGGCCCATCTGGATGGGGCTGAAAGCAAACAGGGGATCATAATGCACTAGCAGTGTCTGAAAGCGAGGCTTAACACTGCCCCTTTTCACCAGGGCATGAGCCCCAAGAAGTGGCAGTTACACCAAGCCACTGGGTCTGGAAGGGACCCCTGCCTGGGGACACTCACCTTGGAGTAAAAGTATCTGCACACAGCTTCCTGAGCCCATGGCTGGAAGTAGAACTCGGCTCTACGCTCCTCTTCAGGATTCCCAACAACATCAGTCATCGTCTGAAAGCACAAAGGACAAAGCAGTTCAGGGAGTACGAAAGCTCTGTGCTGAACAAAACTACACCCCCTTTGCCTCAAAGACACTTCAGTTCAGTCAGGTCAAGTCCTTATGTTTGATTTCAGTTCAAGTCTTGCTTTCTGAGCAGGAAATTGCCTTTCTCTCTCTGTGGGAGCTAGCTATAATGAGGGAAGCATGTGACTGGATCCACCTTCCACACAAGAAAAGCTTTTACCTTCAAGTCCCGGCACTGGGACTGGAGCCAGTCATTGATGAAGCCCTGAGGATCTCGGGCAAAGCTCAGCATGAACTCACGCTGGGTCTTCAGCTGGTTAATTGTCTCTATTGTTTCATGGATCTGAAGGAGATAAGCACAGCATTGGGACTGCTGAATAGGGAAAAGTGTCAGAGAAACATAAAGAGATCCAAGATGAGAAGGTGAATTCTTATATTCTGCTTGGTTTGTCAGATAGGATTCACAGCTCCCAGGTTCCTGCTGTAAGGGTTTTTCCACTGACCATTTGCTTTAGAACTCTGCTTCAGGTAAAGCCACCTATCTAAACATTGTTGCCCTACTCTAGCTTCCAAATGCCCAACAGAGCAAAGCTGAACTGTCACACTCAGAGCTCATCTTGCTCCACAGATACACTCCTATCTGGTAATCTGGTAATGAGGATGGCAGATCTGAAGGAGCTCTTCTTACCTTGTTATCCAGAGCAGCAATTTCCTGTTGACTGGCAGTTGATAGCAGGAATGAATTCATCTGAGTCTTCAAGGTGTCATCCACCTCCACATCGATGTCATAGCAGGCTGTTTTCTTCTGGTCATTAGGATCAACACTGGGGGCATCCACAAGAAAGGAACCAGAAAGAGTGAGTAGTTCAAGAAGCCATCACATCAAATTGTGACTGTTCTGATGCAGCACAAGGACTGCCAGAAGGGATAAGTCAAGCCAGTGTCAGCTTCAGCTCTAACAGCAAACAGCAAGGCTTTATTGATGTCTTTGCTGCATATGGACTAAGTGATTTTCCAAGCAAATTTCTACCCACACACCTGTAATGAAAGGCAGTATGAGTTCCTTGTGAAAGAGGGACACTGTGTCAAAGTTCTGTGTAAAGAAATAAGGGCAGGCAATGCAGAGAAACTACTACTGAAAAGTCAGAGCACATCCCATCATCTTCCTGTGCCAGACTCATCCATCCTTTCCTCTCCTCTTTCTAGAAACAAGGAGCCTCACCTGATCACATGATTAATGATGATCGGTTCTGGAGGCATAAGCAGCGCATGAAGCCTTTGTGGAATTTCAGAGAACTTCATCCGCTGGGATTCAAATATCTGTGACAGAAACACAGGGCTAAGGCAAGGAACACAAGCTGTGCCAGAGACCGCTGCCAGCCGACCAGGGAAAGCTGAAGCAGTTGCTCATTCCCACCACAAATCCCGTTACCTGCTGGAGGTATTTGTCACAAATGACGTACTCCCGCTCGTGAGGGTCCTGCAGCTTGTGGGTCTTGATATATTGCCACAAAGCCTGGATGATCACTGGGCGAGTCTGAGTGTGGATCCCCAGGAGACGAGCCAAGCGGGGATCCAGTTTGAACTGGGGAGGCTGAAAGAAAAAGCAAGGAGAGGTGAGATGGGACTTATGGCCACAGACACAGCAAAGCAAATGCTACGTGTGCCCAGCGCTGCTATCCAACATCTCACCTGGTAATCGAGCATCAGAAGGACAGTGCAGCGCACGTTGACGTCTCCTGGCCTCTTCACCTGGAAGCCATCTGTCTCCTGAGTTGTAGCAGTTCTGTGCCACTGGAATATGTGCAACAGGAGGGGGATTTAGCTGCACCCACACGCTCGACTCCTTTTGCTCCTGCTGCTTGCCACCCAACCTCACCCACGACAGAAGATTCATCTTATTCCCATTTATAGTTTGAAACAAGAGTTAATGCATTTATTCAGAGCCCAGGCAAGTCAGTGGAAAAGCTAAGATAAGAATTCAAGAGAATTCAGCCCTGGCTCCCAGCCACTTGTTAAAGCCTTAAATACCCCACTTCACAAGTTACTAATTACATACAAATTCAGTCTGCTGGAACAGCAACCCATCTGTAGAGATAATACAGCAAAAAGAAGCAAGCTCACCTCTACCAGGTGATTGTCAGGGCCATAGAGGTCTTTATCAAGTTCAATAACCAGAGATTTAAAGAAGGATGAGAACTTTCTTTTCTGTTTGGTGGCATCGTATTTGGACAAAGCAGACT